CCAGATATAATTTCTCTTCAACTTTGTACCTCCAAAGTTGTTGGTATATAATTCAAGTTATACGTAGTATATAACCTACATCTAAAATAAATTATATTACTGATTATTCAGTGTTTATCATAAAATAATATATATATTTTTTTAAATTTCACGTACCCCTTAAAATGTCTTCGCGTACCTCCAGATATAATTTCTCTTCAACTTTGTACCCCCAAAAGTTATTGGTGTATAATTCAAGTTATACATAGTATATAATCTACATCTAAAATAAATAAAATAAATTACATTACTGATTATTCAGTGTTTATCACAAAAAAATTTTTTTTTAAATTTTACGTACCCCCTAAGATGTCTTCGCGTACCCCTGGGAGTACACTGACATTTCATAAGTGTTCACGTCATATCACATTGGTGGTGGTTGCACTTATGTCATCTGCGTTTTAAGTCATTCCTGCACTTAAGTCGTCATAGGTCACGCAGTTTGATTTTCCGCGTAGAAACAATGACCTCCTGCCATGCAGGTTGACTACCCTTGTAGGAACAGATCCCCGCGGTCATGCACGTTCACGTACTGGAAGTTTGTTACAATTTCGATTTGATGACCAAACCTTAAGATTTTTCTGTTCAAATTATACAGTCAACGTAAAAAGTCGTAACTGGTATAACCAGGGATTGAAAACCACGTCAAAAACTTTCAAATACCGAAGTTAATTAAAATATTCCATCTTACGGACTTCGTAAACTGAAACATTCCGTGCTGTGTGGGTCCTCTACGTTCTAAAACGTGCCCTTACCTCAGCCTCGAGATACGTGGACCAGTTGCGTAACACAATGGCTTTTCAATTTTTTTATAATTCCAAAAACCTGTTCTACGTGGTTAGGACGAAAGCCCCGGAGGGCTTTTAGCGGAAAAAAATGGAAGAATCTCCTTAATTAACTGAAGATTAAGTTTTTACGTAATGCTGTTATGATTCATAATGTCCATGTTTTGACGACTCTAACATTCTCCAGCAACTAACAAAAAACGTCTGTCAAATAGT